TGGAACCATTCTCTCTTAGATTTTGATGCTCCATCCAATACTGCTGTTACATACAGAAGCTGTGAAAGTTCTATTACTGTCTGTCAGCTTTGCTGGGTGGAAACAGCTAATAATGAACAGTTAATTCCAGCATGTCTGAAGAAAAACAAAACCAAAACAACATAGAAGGGAAGACATAGAAGGGCATTTTGGGGTGTATTTCTCATGCTGTTAATGTTTCATAAGAGAGTGTATTTTGGAGAAATGGAACTTTGAATGTATTGTCTTAAGTACAGCAAATACTCAGTAAAAGCTCTTTGAAACAGACAAACTTGTTAACTACTTGAATCTGATCACTCAAACTTTTCTGAATCAAGTCCGTTGTCTGATAAAAAGACTGAATTGCAATTCTTCATTCTCTGTGGCAGACAAGGCCTTCATCTTTCTTTCACTAATGCTTAGGGCATGTGTGCCTTTTTGTCCAGCAATACAAACCTTTTCTGAAAATCCTCCTTAATAAAATAAAATATTTTTACAGCATCCTGTGACCATGGTTCATCAGTGCTGAAATCTACTTACAACAAAATCCTAGCAAAGCTAATGAATGGGTTTCAAAAATACAGAGGTTCAGAAATACTTAGATTAGTGAGTGGTGTTACTGGAACACAGTTTTTCCAGCTCATTTATTCCTCTGCCCCATGGGAAGGAACAGCTAATATGAATTACTAAAGCAGGTGACAGAATTATTTTCTTGCTATATAATTGCAGAAGTAAATAAATGAGGTGGAAAAATATATCAGGCCTACTCTAGATAACTACAGAGTTTTCAAAAATATTTTTTGCAGGGCCTTAAGGCTGCGTGTTTTTCTCCTTGTGCAGAGTGAATGCAGAAGGAGTGGTGTGGTTTGGATTTTTTTTGTTTTTTTTGGGTTTTTTTTGTCTATGCTTTTGGTACAATGTTTTTGCAATGATTGTGCTCATTCTTTTCAGTCTGCTCTTAAGTTTTCCCTTGTCTTCCTTCATGTCTCTGACCTCTGGATTCTGCAGGAAATGTGTTTACAGGAGAAATTTTTGTATCAGCATATTAGTTTTGTATCCTGTCTCATTGGTTTTGAACTCTTGTATCTTAACTTGTGTCCACAGAAGCATCCTCTCATCAGAAGGTACTCTTCAGGGGTTTTTAAATAAGGAATCTTTAAAAATACTTGATGTAACAAGTAATAGTAAAGCTGTTCTTCATTTATTTATTTATTTATTTATTATTTATATATTTTTAATAATTTCCTGTCTTAAATCACAGACTCACAACTTAAATAAACTTTAAGAAAGTAATTAGTGAGTTGGGGTGGGATTAGAACAGGGAATTTTGTAGTTTGATGAGAGCTTGTCTGCAATTACAGTCTTCAAGTTTATATTGACTTGCAGTTCATGGGTGAGAGAATGTGCGTCGCTAGTCTTTCTTTCACAAGAAAAGAAGTTAAAAGAGTTTCACAGACGTGCTCTGTACTGAGAAGCTCACAGATTTTTAGAAGTATATGTTTGCTGGGGGAAGGGGGCATGGCTGTACAAATGGGTTGCCAGGCAATTAATTCTTCCTACTTGGAACAGGAGACAATCCGGCTCTCATAAGCAATGCAGTATTATTTGCAAAAGAAAACTAACAAATGCCATTTTTCCTATTCTCTTCCTTCTTTCTTCTGTCTTCCCACCTCCCTTCTCCCTTCCTCTTGCTGTGCATTCCTGAGAAACTGCTCAGGATTGATATGATAGCAGAGCTGTCATTCTCTTTAACACAAAAAAAAAGAAAAAAAAGTCACTTTTATGCTAGGTATTTTAATAGAGTCCCATTAAGGATGTATTGCTGACTGAAATATTGGCATGAAGGGCTCTCACTGAGCAGAGCCCAGGAATTAAGAAGTCAGGAAATGGGCTGCTGCACTGCTAAAGAACCTTGTGTGACACAGTATCTCCTGATTGGGGGGATCATTACTGCTATTATGACTCGACTTGCGTAGGAATTTTAAATTTCATCTGAATGTCAGTAATAACCCTCTTAGCAAATTATCCTGAATAAAATCACGAAGGCATTTTATATAATAGGTGTTGAATTACTGGATAGATTTGCTAATTAAATACTCTTTGTTCTGCTGCAGTTGACATTACAGGGTAAGATCTTGAACAATTATTCTCAACAGCTGTACTTTGTTAAGGGAAAAATTAACTACAAAGTTTATTTTTTTTCTACACTTGAAATTGGCAGATTTTTGAAATGTGCTTGAAAAAATTCCATCATCCAATTGGTAATGAGAGGATAAATATGCAGGTGTTGCTGTGAAATCAGATAACTACTGACTGCCTTATTAATGAATTTAGCAATACTTTATAACCTTCTGTTTTGTACTGTTGGCACTTACAAATGATCTCCTGTCAGAATGGGTGGCACTAGCATATGCCAGTCACTTGATGAAGCCAACTTGTCTGTGACCCTCTTGTTGTGATTACCTACACCCACTGCACCCACTGCTGTCCTCAGGGACAATTGAGAAATGGTTGTTGCACAGCCAGACCATTTTTTAGTAGGGGTATTCCCTTTTTTTTAAAAAAAAGATATATTTTCATTATTTATAGAGTTATTTCAGAGAGTGAAGTAGAAAATTCCAGAGATTATCAAGGAAAATTGATAGGCCTTCCTTTCTTTTCAGTATAAACTCTTTATTTCAGTCTAATTTTTCAATTTTGTTTCAGGGACTCCTGTTTGCTTTTGGAGTACTAAGGGAGAGGTATAACCTTTTTCTGTAGGAGTTAGCTAATAAGTGAGAGGAAGGATTGTGAGGTGGTGAATATGTTGGAATTTTGACTACTTTATATGAAATTTGATATCACGTACCAGTGGTATGTCTAGAATAATTTCAAAACTCCATAGAAAGGTGGTGGGGTCAAATGGCTGAATCACTCAACTGGGAGATGAATATGAGTGGAATACCTTCTTTTTAAGCTTCCAATTAAAATGGAATTGTGTGTGTCTGATTCCAGTGACAGGTACAGCCTAGCAGGAATCTGCAGTTAAGGCTCACAGTTTTCCTGTTCTGTGAAGGATTCTGAGGACAGCTGAGCTTTCTGCAGTTTTGGACTTCAGCAGAGTTCAGGCATCACATTGTCTGACTGCCTAGTTTGCAGCACCAGTGGATGGTCTTTAAATTAACTGGATGTTTTGAACTTGACCCAGAGAGTGTAAATCCACAGATACCCATATGTGCTTGAGGAATAACCCTGATAAGGACATGCATTGTGAGTTCAGCTGTGTCAAAGTTACATCATAGTTTGGAACTGAACCTGTCTTTAAGTGCCTTGAGGGGAATACAGCTTTCAGTGCATAATTGCAGACAAAAAAGTCATACTTGAACTGTGGTTGTGTAAAGGTTCTGAACTACTAAAGAAACTTGCCACTAGTGTTAAAGAAATTACAGTGTTGTCATCCTGTTTGTGTGCTGTTGTGTAGAGGTGGAGATTTCACCTGTTCCAGAATTCCTTGTTGTGATAGCATAGTCAGCATCACAACAGTCAAGACCCATGGCTTCATTATAGACTCTGCCTTATAAAAGAGGTTTTCCTGAATATGATCTTATTCCCACTGAGCACAGACAGCTCTTGCCTGTTTGTCCCTTCTCTTTCCTCATCCCTGCTGATTGCTACTGCTTAGCTCCCTGTCACTGGCTTTCTCACTACAAGTCTTAATTCTACTTTCTGGCAAATATGGCCAAGGACTATTACAATTTAACATGTGAAAAATAGTAAAGGTGAGATTTGGTCTCTAAATTTGATATAAGCTGTTTGATAGTGTGTTGCCTATCTTTAGAATTCCAAATTGTTTGGGTTCACCTAACAGACTCTGATCTATCATTGCTGTAACATGTGGTTCAAATCAATCCTCAAAAAAATTTAAAGTATAAATATATATGACTAGCAGGATTAACTGAAGGAAAATCTGAGGTTTGTGCTGAGTGGCAATGGAAAGGACTGAAACCAGGGAAGTGAAAACTGGAGCTGTGTGCCAGAGCACCAGGATGTTGATTAGAAAGAAATGGGGAGTACAGTGGAACTGTGGCCAGGTGGCTGAAGGAATGGACCAGATGTTGGTTCTCATGCAGCTGTGCAGAATTCACCAAGCTCTTCCTGCTGCTGCAACTACACATGTTTTTCATTAAGGTCATTTGATTGTCTCTTTTCTGTGCTACAGCTGTACCTGTGGCTCCAGATGATGTGCCCTGCACACACTCCACTGTGCTGAGCACTATGAGAGGTGGAAGCAGGAGCCTACTCACATGAGGTCTCCTTAGCTATTTCTCAGGTTCAGAGAGGTGCTATTCAGAGCGTTTGGGGAGCTTGGGATGCATTCTTGGTTGAATATCAAGCTTGGTTACACACAGTTTTGCACATTGATTCAAGATCTGTACCCTGTCTTTATCTCAGCTCTTTGTCCCTGTTCTGGTTTCCATAATGAGTTTGCTTTCTGATGACCCATTTTGAGATCATTACAAGGGTAATCAACGTTTTGACTAAGTCTAGTTAAGTGAACACCATCCAGGCTGGACTGAATAAGACAGGATGTTTTTGGGAAAAAATTCAATGACATCAAGAGATAAGATGATGGATATGAAGGTGACAACTGACCTAAATTACTGAAAGAGACTTAATTCTGGCACTTGCTGATTAGGTTGTATTTGAGCCATTTGATTCAGTGTTCTTTTTTTCCTAAGGTAGAACGTGTGCATGCATATGCAATTTTGAGATTTGTTTTAATCTTGTTTTAGGGGAGTTAATAATAGCATTAATACAAGGTCAAACAAGAATTTACTCCTGTAATAGAAGTATTGAGGTGACTGTGTGTTGCCAGGAGAGAGGTGGTTTGCTTTGTTTTGAAAGGTGAGAGCATTTGGAGTTAGCAACCTAATGGGTATGTTTGCATGTGTTAGCCTGTAATTATATCATATGCTAATCTTTGATTATTTTTTTTATTTCAGATTTTGATGCATACCAAGGAGATGGTGCAGAAGGTAATGCTGAGCATTTTCATTAAACAACAACACTTAAAGAGCACACCTGGTGAAATTTTTTTATTCTAGGAGAACTGTAACCCAAACAGTCCTGAAATCACTTCTTAGGATGCCTGGTTTACAAATGTAATCCTTCCTGATGGATTATAGCTTTTTTCTTTTCCTAACACAGATATGATCTGGACCCTGCTTGAAGCCTATGTGGGACTGTTTCAAGCAAATTAGCAACAGTGCTAATTAGAGTTTACTCACAGACCTGTTACACCATGTGTTCTAGTGGTTTATTATGGTTTATTTTTTGGCATCCTTTAAACTCTGTCATGGGGTGGTTTTTTGACTCTGTAGAGTTTAACATGGACATAACCATGTTGTAGTTTTTACAGCTGCATTGATTTTCCACCACTGAAAATGTCAGGTTTTTGGTGTTTTTTTCTTCAAATTAATATTATGCAATTAGATGCATCTGCCAAGTTTTTTTGTTGTGATATTTACTGGTGCTAGTACTTTTTTTTTCTGCCTTTTTTCTCGCTATGCCTTTCACATGCAGCTCAGGCTTTTTTATGTTCCTCAGTTTGTCTAGAATTTGCTCCATTATCCAGAGTATCATGAACGTATGGCTAGTGTTTGAATACAGTGTTCTCCAAGCTGGGCATTTAAGTTGTTACAAGAATCAGAATCACAAGTGATGTGAGGGGCAGAGTGTCAGTGAAAGAGAAGGGATTCAGTAAATGTTCGTGTTCATCCCTGGGTGTAATTGTTCTGTATTCAGCCTGGGAAGATAAAACTTGTGGGTGATACTAGCTAGATCCTTATCCAAAAGGAGAATTCCCTAAATGATCTGCTGCTCAGGGATGGACAAACACAGGTTTAATGTTAACTCAGCAGAAGTTAAAAGATGGGAGAGGGAAGATGAAAATTTGAAGCCATCTGCATAATCTGGACGGTGCTGTGGTATTCTCAGTTGCTGTCTTCCATTAGCAAATGCTTTCATAGATCTGTTTGAAATAGAGAATATAAGTATTTTTTCTCTTTTTACCTCCAGTAGTATTGTGATGGCTGCAGATGGGATGGGATACCTGACTGTGGTATTACCTTTCAAACACTTTGGCTGACTGCCTTGTCATTGAATTTGTCCAGCAGTCTTGTGAAAGTGGTCTTCTTGTGTCTTAGCAGTCCAAAGTTATTTCTGATCAGAGTTCCTTCTGTTTCTCAAGATCTGACATGTTCACTATCTTATTTTTCTAATACTCATTTAGTAAAATGTTACCTATTTGTATTGTATACATAACTGGACAGTGGTCTTTTTAACATATCAGTGACTGAAGTTTCTTTTTTTCTCTTTAAATTCAAATAGGTTTTAATGAAATGTACAGACCTATCAGTAGAAATTTATTTTAAGTTTTCTTGCTAGTATATTTCTTGGTGTTTAAGGGATAGTATATAGATAATAGTATTTTTGAACCTTGAAAGTTTTGTGGGACTTGTAGAAGATGGAGTGGTTCTTTTTTGTTTTTTCAAAGCAATTTTTTTTGTTTAGATGAACCTTGAAGTGATTTATGGAGACACAGATTCCATTATGATAAACACTAACAGCACCAATTTGGATGAGGTCTTCAAGTTGGGGAATAAGGTAAGGAATTTTGATTTTTGAAGATTTCATACATAGGTCTATGTTGTTGCTCTAAGTGGAGCAGATGGTATTAAGAGAGGATTCCATGGCACAAGCAGAGACTATGCCATGAGAAAGAATTTCACAATGTGTGGAACCTATGAAGTAATAAAATCTCAGTGCTCTTTTTTGGGTGTAGCTATTTTGTGCATTTTTAAAAGTGATCAAATGAAACATTTCATTGCATAACAAGCTTTTTTTACTAATCCTAACCAAGGTAGCAGGAGATTATCTCAGTATTTGGTGAACCAAAATGTAAGATAAAATTTCTCCTCCATGTTAATTTCAGTTACAGCATGAACAGTTATGATTCTTTTTTTCCCACAAGGGATGTCTCTCAGTTTAGTTTTGTTTAGTTATGTAATTTCTATGTTACTCATTATGTTACCAGATTTCTAGGTAAGTTCAAATATTAATTTCTGTGTATACCAGATACAGAAGAGATCTGATTGATTAGTAGCTGGCAATCAATCATGTGGAAATTTTGTGGTCTGAAATTTTTGTGAATTTTGCCTGAATTTTGATCTGAATTTTGTGAATCTGAAATTGTTGAAGAAAAGTGAGAAATATTCCAGAACTTTCTAAAGAAAATATGTAAGAGAAACTGTTTTTGAAAGATGTAAGAAATTGTGATGAAAATGAGAGCTATGGAAACTCTAAAGAAACTAAAGGAAGCATAGATGTATTCAGTATAGTATTAAATAAAAGTAATTTAATTTTTAGGCAGAGAGTTTTTTACAGTGCTTCTACCTTCATGCTAGAGGGTATATTTAGAAGTAAATGCATTCAGGAGCAGAAAATGGGATAATATCTTGATGTCATAACTGAGTAGCAGGAGGGCTGCTGGCATAGTAGAAAGCAATCTTTCTTTTTTGTTTGCCACATATATGAAATTATATATAATCTTGTATGTGCAGTAGTGTATAAGAAAGTTTTTAATCTTACTCCAGTTGTGTTTATGTGGTTTCATTCTGATTTAATTTTTGTCCCTGTGCTCCCATTTGGTGGCTAAACATTACAGAGGATAGTTAAATAATAATAACTTTTATGAAATCTAACAGAATAAGCATAATAGGTTAAATACTTTTGAATTAGTCAGAACCTGAAGTCAGGTTTTCTGAGAGAATAGGTATGTGTTTGAACTTGTCAGCTGCTTAATGAGAGTAAAATCTTAAGCTATTTTTAATCTGTTGTACTTCAGTATTATGTATCAGTTGAGGTGGTTTTTTTAATAGAAAAAATGACAGAAAAAAACATTTTCATTAAAATTAAGTACAACGTATAAAAACTGTAAAAGTGAATAAACTTATCTCTGTAAACCAGCACAATCAAACCTAGCATCAAAATTTCAGATGGTGTGGCTTTCAGTATTCTTCCTGTGGCAGAAAAAAGTGATTCATATCTGTCTCATTTCACATGTTTCTTGTTTGTTTGTTTATTCCTCAAGAAAGTGACAATTTTTTTTTTGTAAACACTTTGATCATTTATATTTTCCTTGTTTTGAGTAATTCCTGTTAAAAAAATCAGGATAAAGAATTGTCTGTTTTGATGAGGAACACTCTCAAGAAATGTTTCTGCTCCACTGCATAATAATCTCTTTCCCAAAGTTTTATGTTCAGAGGTGAGAAATATTTACATTGCTTTCACTATGCTGTTGCTTTAATGTAGACTGTATGGAAGGCAGATAGGTTTAATGCAAGCAATTAGAGTGAGAGCAGTTGGTTAGTGAGTGTACCCCTGTTGTGATGTGAAGTGTGAGTTTATGGGTTATCTTCTGCAATGAAACATTCTTCCAGGAGATTAATTTTGTTTTTTTATTGGAGAAAATTCTCTCACATGCTTTCTGAATTCCCCTATCTAATGTGTATGTTCTCTCCCACCGTTAACCCTCCATTATTTATATACATGCCCTTTTTAGTCACTGCTTAGCAGAAGTTTTTTCTCATTTTCTGTGCATCCTCATGAATCAGATTTGCCAGTACATTCAGTACTGAACTGTTGCTGGGTTTTGAGCACTTGGCTAGTATGCTAAAAAAAGGAAAAATTGAAAATTAAAATTGCAGAAAAATGTTCAAGGGAATTGTTTGTTTTAAGAAAGAAAATATGAACCTTGTAGCAGAATGTTTTTTGCCCCATGATGTCCTTCAAAACTTAGAAATGTACAGGGGATATCAAAGTAATGGTAGTTCGTGCAATAGGAAAAACAGAGATCTAAGTGAAATCTAAGTACACACATATATGTATACATAAATGGAAAGTTTGTAAGGAAGGTTTTGGTTAAAATGGTAGTTCGAGTTCAAAGCTAGATAGGAAACGAGTGAGATGTTGTGCTGAAGGTCCTGTTCTTGATGAGGGTATCTGTTAGATGGCAAAAGAGCTTGAATCCGTATCAAACTTCAGTGAGACATGAGGGAAGGGTAGTTCATAGCTAGTGGTAAGAGTGTAGGTAAGAGTGATTATGGATAGTGAAAATGAACGGGGAAAATAAATTGTAGAGGAAAGAAAGTAAAGAGTAGAGCATGAGGACAGAACAGGACACCTGGCATATGCAGATACTGTGTTGAAGAATGTAAAGTAAAAACATATGAAGAAAGAAAAAAGCAAGTGTGAAACTGTTAGCCAAGCCAGTAGGTGGGTAAATGTACTGGAAACAATGTTTGTTGTTGAAGCTTCATGCTGTTTCGGGCTGTTGCACTTCTGTCCCCTTAGAATAGAGGTAAGAGATGCTTGGTACTGTATTAGGACAATGTATCAGTGCTATTTGAAGCTTTTGTGTATGGATAAAATATAGCCTGTGTGTAGGAAAACAGCACCTTTTCCTTTGAAGGAAATCAAGCTGTAGAAAAGGTGGGTATATTGTGGGGAGGGGTAAAAGAAACTTGCCTGATTTTCCTGAACATGCACACACAGAGCTCTGGTCTACAGTCATAGTTCTTCTCTCCTCCCTGGTTTAGGGTGAGAGTGGGAAGAAAGAAAGGTGCCTTTGCAAGATAGCTTTTCTGTAAGGCTACTTGCATTTTCTGTCTAAGTGAGCATCTCTTGTCTTTGCCTAGTAAGTAGGTCCCTGCTGTGAAATCCCTTGTTTGCTTCATTTATGTGAGAGGTTAGTTGGACTAGAACTAGTTGGTTTACTAGAACTAGCTGTTCTTCTAAAATGAGCTGGAGTCAGTTATCTCCAAGGTCACTTCAATTCCATGTTTCTCTGCCTTGCTTAATTTTGTTAAGGAGTTAGATGTACCAAGCTGTAGATACTGAAAAAGTCAATGGGTGGACCTTAATTTCAGCAGTAGCTCATAGTTACTAGTGTGTAGCTAATTAATGATATCTGACCAGTCTTTAAAATGTGTAATGCAAATACACAGTGTGTAATGTAACTTGTTTTAAAACTAAAAACAATGCATTTAGATAGGGAAGCTGAATTTGTCCATAGTTAAATTATTGTATTTGTTTTTATTGTTGGTTCATTTGCAGATCAAAAGTGAAGTGAACAAACTGTACAAATTGTTGGAAATTGATATTGATGGAATTTTTAAGTCCTTGCTATTGTTAAAGAAGAAGAAATATGCTGCTCTGAGTGTGGAACCAACAGGAGATGGGAAATATGTAACTAAACAAGAGCTAAAAGGACTGGATATAGTCCGGAGAGACTGGTGTGATCTTGCTAAACAGACTGGAAAGTAAGTTTCTTTGTGGCATTGTCTTTTTTACTCTGTTTTAAACAGTACATAATTCATAAACAATTGATACTGTGTTTCTTGAAGATCACAGATTGGTAACTAACATCACTGTTAGGACTTTGCTGATTTTTGTAGGAGATGATAAACGTTACCTTCTGGCATTGATAACAGGATACCTGTGCAAATCCTAATGTCTCCTGATTTCGCTATCTGGTTTTGCATCTGCTGTGAAGCTGTGCTTTTGATTTGTCACAGTGTTGTAAAAGCCATTTAATAAACCAGAGCTGAAATCTTGTGAAGATGGTAGATGCTGTCAGCATTTGGAGTTGTAGGTTCTAGGTCAGTTGTTTTATTTTAGATGGGTAAAGAAGCTGGTGGTCAGCACTTTCAGCACCCTCAAAAAAACCTGGAAGTGCTCTGGGTGCAGCCTGAGGAGGTGATCCCTTTCCCCAAGACTCCTTCTCTTTCCTTTTGCCATGAGACTCCTTTGATAGATGCTTCATTATGATAGATACTGGATTGACTATTAATTGTCATTACACAGGGCATTTTAATGCTTTAATTCAGTAGAAGTAATACATTTAGCACCATAGAAAGAAAATTAGAGAGAGTGGAGAGGTGGTCATCTGGGTGCTGACTCATTGTATAATGCCTCTTGAAAACTTAAACAGCTCATGGTCCAAATGTATCCAAAAATGAATACTTTTCACATCTGTAAAAATACACCACACACTTGCTTACTGTTCTTAAGACTTGCATTTTCTAAGAAAAGATGCATCATAATAGAAGCAAATTTTTCCAAGTTAGGAATGTATTAGTAATTAAAGCTATACAAATGTTGGAGAGTGTTCTTTAGTGACTAACTCTTCTGCAGCTGGCAGATCTTCCAACCATATTTTGCAGCAATAGGCAAGACTTTGCTTACTTGGTATGTTCTCCTCTACCCCATCTTAAGATACCTGCAATGGAATAATAAGTGGAAAAATGATATGGCAGCAGAAAATAGTTGCACTCAACCATTCCAAATCACTGTTTAGCATTAGAACTATTTGCAATAATTTGCTTTTAGTAAAATAAGTAAATAAATAAAACACAACATAAAATATACTGGCAGATTTTTATAAATTTTTTCATTAGACTTCATCCTCGGGATCTTTAATGTCTAGAGAAGATCTGGGGGAAGAGAAGATTGCGTCTGTTGTAATGGTTTTGCATGTGCCAAGCTTTTCTTAATTTTTATATTGTTTTTGCAGCTATGTAATTGGCCAGATTCTTTCTGATCAGCCCCGAGACATAATTGTGGAAAATATTCAAAAGCGACTTATAGAAATTGGAGAAAATGTGGTCAGTGGTCAGATCCCAGCAAATCAGTTTGAAATAAACAAGGTGAGTGATCTTGCAGCTCTTTTCTGTCTTAGAAAAACTTCACTGTTGCTGACTATATTGACTGCTGACAAAAATTCTTTTAATCCTTATGATGCTGTGAAATAACAGGAGTTTCATTAGGTACTGAATAGTTCAGGCCTTGCTGTGAAGATCCTATGGTATGAGGGAAAAAAAGCCCTACTGGAGCTCGAGACTCCAGAATAACAACTTAATGTCTTGTCCCATCCTGCTGTTTACCTGGCTCATTCTACACTTTGAGAACGACATGATGCTTTCAGGAGGAGTTTTCACCTAAGCTGTTACTTTATATTTCAGGCTTGAAATGTATAAACTGAAGAATGCAATGGAAAAGAATCAAATACTCTGTTTTCTAGAAAAGCCTCATAGCATTTCCTTAGAAATCTCCATATAAAAAAGCCAATAGTCATTTTAAGACCTCATCCAAGACTTTCCGTCAACAAGAAGTAAAACACTCAGCTTTGTCTACAGTTTTAGCAATAGCATTGTGGTTTTTGGGATTTTTTTGTGAATCCTCAATGATAAAACCTGTAATTTCAGCTTCAGAGATTTCCCTTTCCTGTTGGGGGGGGTGTTTCATCAGTGAATTGGGTATTACATGCCCCTCTTAATGCTTCTAAAAGAAGATGTCTATCAGCTGTCCATCCGAAGTCTGTTTCTTTTGCCAGCTGGATATCTGTCTGCTCTGTAAGACTGTGTTAATCAGTTAAGAAATGTGTTCAGGTTGTCATATGAGTGTAGAGAAATCACTGAATTTTATGGTTAACTTAAAAAAAGAATGTTCTGATGCAAATCTTCTAAGAGCACTTTGTCCCTGTAAGAGATATATATAGTAAAATGTTCACTTTCAATTCCTAAAGTTCCTCTGTTTTACTACTTCAGAAAAAAATGTATTTAACTATTAAGTCAAGTGTAGAGTTTTTTACTAAGAATTGGGGTGACAGTAAATATTTAAATGTACCATTTTATTTTATTTAAATGAAAAACTCATTGTGGAGTCTCAGTAGTATGAGATGCACGGAAATATTTAAATTCAGTTGTATTCTCTTGCTACAGAGCTTGTTAGATACACTCAGCTACACAATATTCAGATTTACTGTATGACATAAATGGAACTGGAGTAAGAGGGTAATATCTAGCTCTATTTTTGTATTTAGTATAATATTTTCATCTTCAATTGAGTTTAATTTTAAAACAGTTGCATTATGATCATAACGCTAATGCATTTTTCAGATGGTAATTGTAAAAACATCCTTTTGTTTAATTAATAGTAACATTTATAAAATTTGAAGGACTGGTACCTAGGGCTTGACATATGGCAAATAGGTTTGTTACAGTTTTTTTATCTTTGTGTTTCAGATGCACCTGTGAATTGTAGAAGGGCTGCTATGTAATCTTGTATCTGAAAGTTCTGAGTTGCCCATCACTGAAGTAATAGATTTTTCTCATAGTTGTGTTTCTCTTTTACCCTTTGATATTTTAGGCATTGACAAAAGATCCCCAGGATTATCCTGACAAAAAAGCCTTGCCACATGTGCATGTTGCCATGTGGATAAATTCTCATGGAGGCCGAAAGGTGAAGGCAGGAGACACAGTGTCATATATCATTTGTCAGGTAAAAATGTCTTTCTTTATAGCTAAATACTAGGTATTGTTTTGAGATATGGCAAAGAAAACCAGCTCAGCTCCTGGGAAATAAATTTTGACATTTCTTTTTGGTGAGGTAGTCTTATATTTTAAAATTGTCCATTTTCTGCACTAAATTTAGTTTTATAGAGCATTGTGATCAACTCAGCAACTATTTCCATATAGTGGCTGGTAAAATCTACCTGAATTCATTCATGTTTGGAACTAGAACTTCCTTTAAAGAATATGCCTAGTCTTTGTTTTAAGCAGAAGAAAATTCTGGTGGTGAAGAACCTTTCATTTTTGGAAAGATAATCGTTTTTGGTTAAATTGTGTCATTGTTATTTCCAGTCTCACCCTGTCGTCTCTTCAATTCATGGTCATTGGATCGGGCGGTACCTCTGATGTATAGATTGGGAAATTTGAGCCACTTTCTGGTTCAGGTGTTTATCCTATAAATGCTTATCGCTATTTCACAAATATATACTCCACTTTGGTTCTGTTAATTAAAAAAAAAGTGTAGGTTGAGTTAGATGGACCAAGGGATCTTTTAGGTCAAGCTGATGAACTTGGCAACGTGATTATTTCACCTCCTTCATTATTTTCAAACAGGACTTAATTGAGAGTTCTTAGCCTGGCATCCCAAAGCTGCCCAGACTTTTGAGAGCTGGGCAACGGGTGCGGCTGAGCGGTGGCACAATACAACAGAAGAATATACTTGTTGAAAGAAAGGAGCTGAAGGAGTTGCATTGTAATTATTTTTGCAAAGCAGCTGGATGAGCTGAATAGTCCTAAATTAATTTTGTTCTGAATACTAAGTTGTCTGAAAGGAGTAGGAGGGACCAATGGCTTGTAGTGTGTCTTTATTAGTGATGGGTTTTCAGTCCATGGTTGCTGACCCTATTGAAACCAGTAGCTCGTCTTAAATGAAGAAATGAAGGTGTCATGTATTAATGCATTAGTTTTATTTTGCTGGAAAAAAAAATCAAAAAAGAGACTGTACTTAGCAAAAAAAACCCAAAACAGTTGTGGTACTTCTCCCCACCCTGCCCCAGTCCTATAGATGTTTATGTCTATTACAGAATCTTGCTAAAATTCTGCTTTAAATTCTGTTCTAAGATTTTTGACACACATTAAAAATGAAATTTACTAGTCCAGTCGAGGACTGAGATTATGATTCTACAGATTTTAATGAGTTATATTTTCCAAAACTACTGTCATCTTAGATCTGATTCTTAATCCTCCATGTATATTGTTTTCAATTTAATATTGCCTTTCCAAATGAAATTAATTTCTCCTTATCTTCTTCTTTCAAGTTGGAGAAGAACGTAATGTATATTTTAACCTCTGAGTGGTGTTTCTCTCCTGGCTTGAGATGTCACCATACATTTCATTCTGTATTTTTGAATATTTTAGAATTTCCTCTTTGAAATCAACACTGTTGCCTCTGTTATTTATTCATATACCAATGAGTAGTATATGGTTATAAGGTTCGTATATATAAGGTTCATTCTCATTCATATATATAAGATTCATTCTCCAACCGTTGATTCTATTAGCTTCTTTATAGGATTAAAGAATATAAATTTCCTAGCAAAACAGATATAGTTTTGATATCCATGACTTAGAATTTGCTTGTTGTGCAAAATGATAATGCTGGTTTAGTACAAAGTGAATCCAGAATGCGTGCCCTCTGTGTATTTTTAACTGGGCTGATGGTTACAATGTGTTTTCATTGTGCATTTCAGAATTGACAGATGGGACTGTTTACTCTGTCTACTTGTACTGATTTGCACATGTAGGCTGCAATAATACAAGCTGGTTTTGCATTCTTGAACTTGCTAGTTGATGCCAGCATCAGCAATGCAGTTTTTTTACTACTGTTGGATTTGTGTTGGATGCATAATAAATCAACCAAAAGAGTGTGTAACAATTTTGCATTAAAATAATGCGTAATATTTGAAGTATAATTCTTTGTGTAGATTTTTTTCACACTTTGTTTTGTATGTGTCTTCTTAGGATGGATCAGATCTCAGTGCCAGCCAGCGAGCATATGCTCCAGAACAGTTAAAAAAGCAAGAAAATCTTAAAATTGATACTCAGTACTACCTGTCACAGCAAATACACCCAGTAGTTGCTAGAATATGTGAGCCTATAGAGGGAATTGATTCTGTTCTTATTGCAACATGGTTAGGTAAGTATTCTAAATTCAGTTTATTTAAAGAATTGCAAGATCCAAAGTGGAAGATTTTAATGTATGTTTCTCAACAGAAATGCTTCCCCCCATCAGTCTTTTTACATTGAACTTGTACCTGTGTTACAAAGCCTGTAGAAAGCAGTGTGGACTCTTAAGTGTATTTATCACTTCTGCAGAAAAGTGTTTTTTTCAGAAAGTGATCACTGACATGCATTTAATCTTACAGTCTTTGTTCAGAGTTGCAAAAATACGCTTTTCAGAAATGGCAGTACTGTTGCATGTCTTGGAGATTTTTCTTAGGTTACTGAAGGAGTTCTGGGGTGTGCATCTGAACTAACATTTTTCCAGAGAGAAATGCTGGCATCTCTGGCATCTTCCCAGGGAAAAAAACAGTCATAATTATAATGAAAGAATACAAATTTTTACTAGGATGTAAGTGAAGACTTGATTGCTAGAACTGACTTACTTGATAATAGAAACGTGTAATCTTTGTAACAGTTTTAACTGCTTCATATGAAGGAATTAAGTGGTCCCAAAACCAAGAAGTGCTGTCAAAAAATATAAGTAGTGTTAGTGATCCATGAAATCAACAGTTTTAATTCAAATGAGCAACAGGGAATTGCTCTTGTTAGAGTTGTTTTTCCTTTTAAAAGGATGTCTAATAATTAGAATTAGAGATTTTTCTGCCCAACTGTGATTGCCTCTTTCTTCTCTATTCCCTAGACTTCTTACCTAGAAAAAACTGAAAGGTTGAAAATTTGTTAACAGTTTTATTGGGTCTCTCGTCTTGAAAATGCTATGCTCGGTGTGTGTATTCTTTTTAGTGTTGTTTCCTCTGCAGAAGTGGGGAGGAAACAAACTTGACTGATCTACTTATCCAACAGACTTGACTCATCCACTTGATAAACAGAAATTCTGTGATTTTTATCCCACATGTAGCTCATTATTTTTAAAACTGTTGCTCAAGGACATGGAAAAGTTTTTAATTTTGCTGGCTATGAAATTCTTGACAAGACTGCCTTTTCTTTAGGAGAACTTCTTAGAGAGTTGCACTGTGACTGTGTCAGTTTAACAATGTGTTTGTGCTATGCCTGTGTCTACAGGAGGTTCAGACCTGCAAAAATTACTTTGTTCAGAATATTGGAACACTCAAAGGATGAGTTAGTCATCAGCATTTGTGTTTAGGTAAAGGAGGCCAAGATCCAGGATTTGGCCAATTAAAAATCACTTGGTAGCAGGTTGCCTCAGGACCCTTCACCTGTGTAACTGCATCTCTTTAGCTCCTTTAGTAACAGCTGATTAGCTTGGAGATTGTACTTAGAATATGTGCAAGAAAGGTCTTGCCTTCTTGTTTCTCAGGAAGGGGGATTATAGCCATGAAGGATCTTAATCTCCCAAACCAATCCTTGTAACATGCAGCTTTTTCCATCTCCATTTCTGAGTTGTTGAGAAGGGGCTGAAGACAGAAATTCTGCTTTTTCTTAGTAAGCAAAGGTGTTTCTTGGAGGCATTTGATGTTGTCATGTGTCCTCAACAGCTCTCATGCTTTGAGGAGGTGTCAGCCCTGCTCCACACATGCAGGCTGACCACACAAATCATCCTGTTTATTATGTGGCAAGACCTTGGTATCCAACTTTCCCTTGATGTCAGAGTCGACTGTGTGGTATGCCTGACTGAAAAGGTCAAGCACTCCTGGTTAGGTTGAAGGGGCTTAAAATAGGCAGCAAACTTGTACTTCATTTAGGCAAAAGACAAGAACGATTTCTGAAGCTAGTTTATTTTATTTGGCAAAGATTGTTAGTCTTGTAGAGTTATGGTAAAATTCAGAGCTCTTACTCACAACAGGTTTTATTTTCAGAAAAGACTGGCTCCCTTCAGACACCTAAGTTAACTACCCAGATCTTAAGAACTCTGTGCCACTTGATAGCACCTACTGTTTGCAAATGCCTGTGCTGTTTTTTGTGCTGTAGTACATTCCAGATGAAGATTTCTTTTATGGTCTGTAATAGCATCATGCAGCTGAGAGTTTATTAATAGTCCACAATTGTCAGTCTGAAAACCTGAATGTATCTATTACAGTCTCAGATCTGAAGTGTGTTCAGTGTGACCTTGCTGTACAGTCAAAATTGTATCACCTTCCCTAGCTTTGTTTTCTTGGGAAAGCTTAAATTGAGCTTGAGGGTAAGGTCAGGTCTTTTTCAAGACTTCTGATCTGCTTAGGTTTTCATATACAGCACTTGATCAGAGCTGTACATAAGTCATTGCAAGCTGAAGTTATCTTACAGGGTTTTTTTTAATGGTGCTGGAGGCATAGTCAAGTGGATTTCTTTCATAGAAATCAAAAATCCTTTGTAAGATTCAGAAGAGTACAAGATACTTGAGTCCAACTTGCTAAAACAAGAAAATATGGAAATTGCTTACTGATCTGTGATGCTAAGTTGGGCTTTTTTACTTAGTATTTTCATCATGATATACATCCAGATTCCCATTGTTTTCCCATCTTGTTGCAAAAAGGCACATTTTCCTGTTCTGAAGGATACATAAGCATCATATCTATGGGCCAAAACCCTGTTGCAGTCTCACTGTGTGTGTCTTGCTCCACTGATCAGATTTATTGTGTAATGTAGAATGTGTGTCTGTACAGGGAGAGTGGTTGTAGAAAAAAAGATCTTGGCTGCATGTTTAACAGAATCTACAATATTGCATGTTTATAAGGTGAATGTTTCCTGTCACCCTGCTTGTCTTGAGTAGATAAAATTGAACTCTGCTAGGGAAGCTTGGCTCACATCAAAGGGCTGAAAAGTTCTTTGTTCTGTCTGTGCTCAAAGCAAGTAATTCAAGTTATTTTAGACACTGAAGAAGAGCAAATAATGCAACTTAAAAAATGCAGAGAACCCCTTAAATATCATATTTATTCGCTATGGAATCAAGTTGAAAACTGCCTTGTTTTGGGGCATTGTAGGAGGTCTGCCTAGCGTTTGAGAGATGGAAGTTCATTGTTCATAAAAACAAGAACCTCATGGGCATACTCCTGCATTTACTCTCTTTGCTTTGAAGTTTCTGAGGAAATGCAGTGACAAGATGAGGATTGTCTCAGTTTGTAAAACTAAATAAAGTGTGCAATCTAGCCAGTCATATAATTTAATAAATCTGATCTTCGTAAATCTTGGAGACCTTAATTCATCCTTAGGATATCTTGCTTTTAAACCAGAAAAACTGTATGGCACAGCAATTCTCTTACATATTTCAAATCAGGTTTTTTTGTTGATATTTAAGTACTGCTCCTTGTCTCAAGGAAAAGTTTTATCTTCTTTGTGTGCTGTCAGAAATAAGCAGATGTTATGGAAGCAGAGTTCTTCAATCACGGGACTTTTGTAGCTGTTACTACATAATATTATTTCCTTCAAACGATGGAAGTTGATGGCTGCTGTCCTAGACAGTGTCATGATGTTCTGAAAGAGATGTGTTCTGCTGCCTTACAGAGGGATGTGCACATTGGTGCTCTGCAGATTGCTTGGCACTGGGCATTTGTTAGGAAGGCTGTCTGATTTTAGGGAGTCATTACTGGGTCCTGATGAGGCTTGTCATGAAGAGCACTTCCCAGTACTGCTCCCTGCTTTGACACTGTGTCTATGTGCTAACTGCTTCTTGTAAAGAAACCCACCAGCACCAAATATATTGGGGTTTTTTACTGTCCTTTAAAAAAAATATTTTTAGAGAATCGTTTAAGTATCTTTAATACAGTGCGTAGCAGCTGCTCGAACTCTCCAGATAGAAACCAGGGTGGATGCTTTCCTTGTGGCATGCAGAATTTACCTCAGGTTTTAACTTTTTTGTTGTTTACCTTACAGTAGGGAGTGAAGTGAAAGGGCAGTGATGAAAATTAAGATCAAAGTCATGACGAAGCTTCATGACAATATGATAATTAACCCTAGAGTATGTGGACTTTGCTGTTTGTGGTCTGGCTGAGTGTTCAGAGGTGCTCCAGACCTGCTCAGAACCTGAGAATCGTTAAAGCGCGTTGGGCGCTCTGAATGAATAAAAGAGTGAAAATATGAATGAATAAAAGAAACAACTCTAAGATGAATGAATAAAAGAAGCAATACCGATGTGAATGAATAAAGAACAGCCCGGCCGGCCGGGCGGCCTCGGCCCCGCGGGCC